AAATGCCTATATATGGTCATAGCCAGGACAGGGCTGATATTATACCCTACAGAGAGACAGCTAGAGATGAAGAGGCCAAGAGCTGCAAACAAATCAAGCAAGGACAAAGACAGGCAGTGAAATACACAGGAGTGTAAACTGGAGCGTAAGAGGGGGGTAGAGAGAGATAAGGAAAGGAGAGCTGAATAAAAGATAAAAGCTAATCTTGCATTCCTAGCATTGTCTCCTGCCAATTCAGCAAAGCAGCCCTCCCACTCATCCGCTGTAAAGCGACCTAAGCAGGACACTGGCTAATAACCTTTAGTGTTCTGTGTTGACCGATAAAGTTTTGTCGAGTCAAGTTCACTGGTCGCAATTACCCAAAGGAATAAACTATTTAAATGCATTTCATCTGGCATCTTTCCTTAATGTTATGCCACATGTAAACACAGACTGCCTCGCTCCTCATGTAATCTCAGTTGGAACAAATAATCATCATATACAGGCTAGTCACTATCGTGTTTCACTAATGAGTGCATCTGTCATTCATGCAAGATGAATTATAAACTGTGATTGATATTTCTTGGCAACTGTACTGGGGAATGTATGTGTGTGTGTGTGTGTGTGTGTGTGTGTGTGTGTGTGTGTGTGTGTGTGTGTTAGCCACAGTCAGAGGAGAGAATGTGCAGCTGTCAGTCTGGGAGGTTTTTGAAACAATAAGAAGTTTGTGCAACTGAGAGCATAAAGGCAAGTGTGAAAAGAGATGGAGCAATAATTAGCATTTGAAACATTTGAGTGCCATTGCATCTGTTTGAATGTGACTGTCGGGGGTCAAGTTAATGTCGCTCTTGACTTTTGTTCTCCACACGTCTTCCCCTCTCACAGCTGTAAGTTTGGCCTTGAAAGTCAGCAGTTAGTTTCGTAGAACAATGAAAACAATCAGAGCCGTCCCGTTACCACTCCCTCCCCTCTAACTCACTTCCTGAGAAACAGGATGTTATGGATTGGACATCAGAGATGAGTAAAGGGACAATGCGGCCACTTAAGCTCACCAGAAACCGTCTTCCTCAACAGACCTGCTTCTATGCAATACCACAAGAGCCTATAGGATGTACACTTTAATTAACCACCTTCTGATGGTTAAAAGGAAGTCTTTGCTGTGAGAAATTCCCTATGGTCAATATGCTGATCACAAGACCACAAACCACTTCCCATTTTGCTTATATTGTTCTCCATCCAAAGTTTTCAGTTCTGCTATCATGACTTCTCATAAAGTATCCATGTGAATTTGGCAGTATCAACTCATATTCATAATCTTTTAATTAAAGTTATTATATTTAGGTTGTTCCCTAATTTATGAATATTCATACCGGAAATAAGATGTATTGGCTGGTTTTAAAGTCTCGGATATGAAAAGGTTTGTTTTTTTTCGCTCCCTGTACAATAATTGATTGATTATCTGTAGGTTTTAGGCTGTTTATCAAAGACAAGTTTTTTTTCAATTGTAATAAAGAATAACAAAAATAAATATTAAAAACCATACTGATTTGCTTTCTGTCCTAGATATTTTCAAGATCACAAAAGTGTATTTCAGGTAAAGCAATGCAAATAGGACATTTTAAAATAAGATAATAGAAATGGATCGAACCATGTTGTTGTACATAAAGATCATAAGCCTTCCTTCAATCCACATGTTAAATGTACCATCAGCAGCAAACAAAAACAGTGAAAGACGAACATTTCGCTGTCACAAAAATGACGCCAACAAATGGTCAAAAATGTCAAGCATGATGCCTTAAGGTCAACTACATACACATACGCTTCAAACATCTGATCAAGCCCTGGCACAACACGAGTCACAGATCTACATCTGATTTTGTGGCCATCAGTCAGCATGAATCACTCAACCCTGTCAGAAGACATCCGAGATCATATGCACACGTAACCAACAATGCAGTCTTTGTTAAGTTAATGAAACTCTGGTTACTTCAATAAGCCCCTACACCTGCCATCAGTAGCAAAGACTCCCACTGAAACAACACATTCACTGTCAAAGAGCACAACTGTTCGTGCATCTCGAGGTCACAGGCAGGCTGTTCGCCGATAGCTCAGTGTGATGCCACCGGAGCTGGTTTAAACTGAGCGTGGTTTGTAATGGGATTGAAGCTTTAGCCAGCTAATCCACTTACCTCCCAACACATACACACATGACGTTAACGTGCACGCACGTACATAGACAAACACACAGGCTAGGCCCTTTGTGGATTAACCTGCACACCTAAAGGGAGCAGACACAATTACAGTCGGCGTTGGAGCATACATCAACAATCAAACAACGACTTTGAGACAAGTAGTGGAGAACGGCTGATAGCTGTGTGATCAGAGTCACACATGGTGTTATTAGTGGTGGGACCTGCATCACTTTGAATTAACTACAGCCCTGGCCCAGTGATTCCTACACACATGCTGTACACAACATAAACCACAATACAACTTAAAGACAGTAGAGAATACACTAATTTACACTGAAATGTGTACCTGCATGTAGCACATGTTTACAAGAGAAACAGCTAGTTTGTTCACACTGAAGCTGACAGTTATCCCCACCCAGGCATTTTCCTACCAAAACAAGTCCACACATGACCCACCCAACAGGTTCACAAGGACAAACTTAAAAGCCAAGCCCATGAGTGATAGACTCCTACTACTGAGGACCACCACCCTTACACACACTCAAATACACAAAACAGGCTTAAAATGTAAATGCGCTGTCAAACAAGTTTTAGGTTTCCAATAACCTTACTTGGAATATGTATTACGATACAAGTAAAATAAATGCTGCTAAAGGAAAAGGCAGCATGCAGAATGGCCCATTTCAGAATAATGCACATTATTGTATAATAGTTGTTCACTTTAATGTTTGCTGCTGAAGGAGGAGGTTATTTCGAATTATAAAATACTTCTGGGTAGTACAAATATATATATATATATTTTTAATAGTTAATTATAATTTGTAGTATCTTGCAAAATACATATAGCAGTGTAAACCTCACTTTATGCAAACATGGAGTGGAGGATAAGTTAAAAGTACCTTACATTGTAGTTAAACTACTCAATGCTAAATACACTTACAGTTTATCATTTCTTAAAATACACTCTTCTCTTTTGGGCCTCCTTACCAAAGATAAGCGTCTAGTTGTGGAAATCTACTTATCTGCTTAAACTGATAAAACGGTCTGCTTCCGATGTAAAGACGGGCTCTACTTCAGTGCTGTAAACCCGCCTGACCGTCACGTTGTCATCCCACTATATTCCCTGTTGTAAATCCAAAAAACTGTTAGCATTCCCTTGATCTAGTTAGCAAAACCCCACAGACTGTCGTGAATTGATTTGCTAACGTAATATAGCAAGGTAGGGCATGAGCAAAGAACAGCGCGTTTGCTAAACCACAATAAGACGTGGGTATAAAATTACTCTCACGAACAAAGACCTGGATATTTGAGCGTTGGCTTATTTTTGTGAATCCGCTAATGCCCAGATAAATGTTAATGTTTGGGGGAAATAATTCAGCAGTTAGCCAGCAAGCTCCCCACTCCGCTCCCGTGTGACCTGGTTTGGCTGTCTAGCTACGTTAGCATCACAATAACCTACATACTGAGAGGCTAGCGTTAGCTTAGCAAACACAGATTAGCCGCAAGTTAGCATGTGTTTGGCTAAAGGGGCATTTGAAGCAAATTTAGACGGTATTCTCAATTTCATTCAGTGGTATCTAGGTCTCTTGTGTGAATCAGGTGTAACAGTGTGCACGGTAGGCTACGGTGACGCGGGCCTCGGTATGAACTTTTCACGTTAGCATCGTAAGCATCGTGAGCTAACGCTATCTAGGAGAGTCGTGTTGCTGATCTGTCGATGATGTGACCACTCCTTGCCAACGCTGCAGTGCACCCACTATCTGTGAAAAGCAGAAAAGAAACACTCGCCCGCCGCTTTATCAATCATCTGGTAATATTTATGAATTAACTCACCTTGCTTGTGGAAAACCTCTGCGGACCCCTTACAGACTATTCCGTTTTTTGTGTTTTTCCCCTCCTTCCCTGGGTTCTGGGTCAAGCTCTTTAAAGACGAAGCGACATCACCGAGTTTTCTATCAAAGAGAGGGCGGGATCAACAATCGGCTTTACCGTAAATACGGCGCAAGTTGAATTCCTCTTATCATACAGGTGTTTGTCACAAGTTTCCAGAAGGGCGCAGTTATTCAGTATACTGGGAATATAGATAACGCTCACACGAACTTGTATGAGCAAGCATGTGAATATAAAAGACGAGAAGGGGGATTTAAATTCTGCTGCACTAGTAGATAAAATAGGCTTCCTCCCACCACCTCCTCTCTCCTCCCATTTATTTCCGTCTGTCGCTCCCCTCTCCCTCACATTAACACACAAACACACGCACACACACTGATGTCATTTCATTGATTGCCCAAGAACAATAGCCTGAGAGGAAGCTGCATTTCTTAGGGAAGTTCAAAAAACTCATTTCGCATCAACATGAAAACACTTTTGGGCACATTAAACCACCACCAGTTACCATCACATACTCTGCATGTGCCCGGTCAGTAAATAGTTTAATGGTAAACAGCCTCTGCAATCACTTGATTTATTGGTATAATGCTTGACCACCAAACTATTTAGGGATCCCTCTTAACTCTAACTTTAGTGTCAAACTTTATGTTTCCTCTTGATATTACAGTAATTATTGAACTTGTCCTGCCTATTAGTGTTTGATATATTTCTGACTTTACAGAAGTTATGGTGAGCCAAAAGCCAAACAGATGGATGCTGATAAACAATGATTTAGAGTGGGCAGGGTGGAAAGAGGAACAATGCAAGGAATGTCCCCCAGTTTCCTTGAGTCCCCCCACAGTGCCACGGTATGAGTAAACCTGAGTCATCACTGGGAACACAAACAATGCTGCGCCCTAGAGGGGCAAAATGAAAGGTTACTTGTCGGACATTAAAAGCTGTTAAACAAATCTGTATTTATTTATAATTGCATATGCAGATTACAAATCCACAAACAGAAACCACAGTTAAAGTATTAATGACCAGTCTTTAACCCTCTGGGAAGTGCAAAAGCAGAGAAGAGATCTGAAACAGAGATAAAAATGGAGGTAGTTTGCTTTTTTCAAATTATACACACACATTGAACAAAATAAAACATGTAAATGTCTCTCTTCCTTTAACAGATATTAAGCTTACAGTAAGAAACACATTTTTGATAATAAATTATAATGTTGAGTTTGATTATTCCAAATCGAATGATTACTCAATGTATTTGGGATTCTTTGTCCACTGTATGACTTTCATAACTGTCAACAATAAATTAGCATCATAGTAACATGCTCTATTGTACCTATGGTTTGGCGCTATGGCAATATAAACAGAAATGTGTGAATCATATCATAACTGGATATTTCCAGAACATAAAACAAATGTGACCCCTTTAGTATCTTTAGTATCTCTAACATTAGCAGATAAATGAGCAGAACTGTCTTATAGACAACAGGGCTTCTGCATCAGTGTGATATCTTCTACTGAATATTTGTAATATATCGTTTAATTAATTGGATTATAGATAAACAATTTTTCTTGAGTATTTACTAGGGATGTAACGATATCAAAAACTCACGGTACGATAATATCGAGATAAAGAATCCACGGTACGATATTTATCGCGATATTGAAAAAATAAATTGAATTTTTTTTTTTTCTTTGTTAAATAATAAATCTGATTTGTACAGCATTTTAGTAGCATAGTAGGATTTTAAAGTGTCAACAATATAATAATAGGACCCTGCAATAGAATAAATCAAGTTTCACTTTAGTTTTTCAAGTAACTCTACTCTAACTCACTAACTCAGCATCATCAAGGTTATCTTTTAGGAATATGAGCATGTCCACATTTCCAGGTAGAAACTGGGATGTTTGGGCGTTTACAATATCCCCTGCTGTGGAAAAAACTATCTTGGTACTGATGTTGCTGGGACAGAGATATGATTTGGCCATGGGTGACAGCAGTGGGTAAAAGTGTGCATTGTCTCTCCACCACTTCAAAAACAATAGTTTTTGCCAAGAAGGTGAGGCTTATTGACAGGGCGAGATATAAATATACTGTTGGTACTTGTCAATTTCTCTAGGTATGTACATGTAGCCCTGTAAATACGATGTCCTTTTGTGTTATCTGTTGTTTTATGTTCATGTTGTAACCTACTTGCAACCATGTTGGACAGGTCTCCCTTGAAAAAGAGATCGATGATCTCAATGGGACCATCTGGTTAAATAAAAGTTTAAAAAAAAAAAAAAAAAAAGTTTTGTCAGTCTCACGACGGTATTGAGACTTTTATTTACCGCGATATATCGTTCCATCCCTAATATTTACTATATCACAATATATACTACAATATAAAGTACATTGTTATCCAATGTCCAAATCACGGTTGTTCACATGGTTTCCACTACAGTTTACAGGCATTTGTGCTGTAATATTATTTAACATAGTAATAATTAATAATGAGCGTATCTTCCACATTGAATGATTACTTATAGCATTAAGCTATAGTTGTATAATTTGCAGAGTAGGCTACGAGAAGGTAAAACATTTAAAAGTATTTATCAATTTGATTTAAATGAAGGCAGTACTTACTCCTTGAATGATGAAAGAGTCATATATTTGTCTGATTTTCAGATGGTATAAAAAAAGATTATTAAAAAATCTAATTATTTTACTGGGAAGCTGACAACACATTAGTGTACTTGTAGTTTATGGAGTGCATTAGACCCACTATAACTTATTTTGGCTGTGACAAAAATAGAAAAAAAAGCACACAAACACAATGCAGCACAGTCAGTAAAAGTAACCTCTTTAAAAATATAAAATGTCTTCTTAAGTGTTTAAGCCTTTGTATCTTTCATTGTCAGATCAGCCCATTACTGATGTGTGTGATCATGTGTCTGCGCAGGTTGCTGGGGTTGTTGAAGCTGGCTGTGCACTGGTTGCACGTGTATGGCTTCTCTCCAGAGTGAGTCCTCAGGTGGATCTTCAGGCTGCCATTCTGCGTGAAGCGCTTCCCACATTGATTACAAGCGTACGGCTTCTCCCCAGTGTGAATGCGCATGTGGATGCTCAGCGTGGTCTTGGAGAAGAATGATTTGCCGCAAAAGGTACAAAGAACTGGCTGCTCTCCAGTGTGACTTGCTCTATGCAAAATCAGGTCTTCACGGCGGAGGAAGCGCTCACCACAGAACGTACAGTCCAGAGATTTGTTGATGCCGTGAGGGTAGATGTTTGGTTGCTGGGTGAACTGGCTAACATGACTGGGCTGGCCCACAAGAACATCAGCTCCTATTATTTGTGTTTCTAAAGCAGGATTCAATGCTGTTGAAGCCAGTTGAAGGTTTCTGTTTTCCTGCATCCCTCTCATCGGGACTCTGACGCTGGCACCTGTGGTGAAATTCAGGAGACTGTCATGGTGGACTTTGTGGTGGGGAGACAGTGAGCTAAAAGCCTGGAGTTCAGAGGCAGTGAAGAGGGTGTCGCTCTCCTTCTGCAGAGGCCCTTCCCCTCGTCCGTGAACACTCACGATTCTCAGATCCTCATTATCATCCATCAGGCAGGAGTCCAATTTCGGAGTCACTGTAGAAACACCACCCTGCGTACTGTGGTTTCCAAAGTCATCCTGACCTAAAAGGTCAAGTCACAAAAATACATCATGAATCGGTTTCTGTATAAAAATCATTGCATCAAGAACCTAAAGTAGCTTCAACAAAGCAAAGTGTGATGTTAAGTACCCACTATAGGTTAAAAACAATGAGTAAAGTCTACCCAAAATTCCCTTCCTCTAGAACAGAATCAGCCACGTATGAGTCATGGCTGAATCATGCCACTCATCATGTCACAATGCACACCGTGTTATAATAAATCACCTTGAAAGCTTACTCATTAACCCATCAACAAATATCCAACCTGACACATGCTTTGAATATTTTAAAGCATGCATTAAGTAAAATAATTAAAAGTTCAAGTGATGATGATATAACTTGACAGTGTTTGAACATAAATAAAAAAGGTAAATTGTAAGATTTTAAGTCAATATCAAAACTCTTTCAAAAAAACTTCTGAGGCAGGATACTGAAGGCTATTTTCTTTCAGCAGTGCCAGACACATGTTGATTTAAGACTCAACATAAACAAACGTTATAGTCATTATACAAACACAACAAAATTGCATTTGCATCTGCTTGGGAAGGTGCATTATATTGATAGATACATATAATGATTCATATTAGTTTAAAACAATAAGGATGAATAGAGGTCAAATATGACGGTCCAAACATCAAGTAGTTCCAGTTGAGGTGCGGAATACTATGTATTTATGCTAAAAGGTTTCCTTCATGAATATTTATTTCAACAAATCTCCTGAAAAGTCCATCCAATATTGAATTTGTAAAACTAGCAATACCATCCAAGTATTTTTTCTGTAGCTACTGCCTTACTCTCACATCTGATAACAACTCACCTCCAACTCGCACACATCCTCCCACGTCTTCTTCATCTTTGATCAGGATGACATCTGGTGTCTCCACTGCACACTAACCAAAAATAATACATATGCATGAACAAAATAAAAATCAAACAAAACTATTATATTATGGAATTCTTTGAAGTGTACTAACCTCGACTTGAGGGGCAGGGAAGGAAGGCTCGTTCTCTGATTGAAGATCGATAGTAGAAGTTTCCACAACAGCTTCTATCTTTTGTGGCATTGCTGGCTTAGTAACCACTAAAAGGGGAATAAAAGACCAATAACAAAAATCTTAATACAAGCCTTCTTAACAACATGCATATCACGTATGAGATATTGAATGATGTATTGTTGTGTGTTTTGAAAAAGTATATTTAAACTGTGTATCTATGTTTCAATGTTGTTATTACAAAAAGACATGCCAAAGTTATTTGTAAACTAGGTGCTTGTAAATTGTGCTTTAGCCATGTTGTGTGCCATCTTTATTATTGTATGTTCTGCTTGTGCACCATAACGAAGCCGGATTACGAAACAAAAGGGGCCCTGGCCACAGATGAGCAAAAAGGCCTCACTACATCTACTACATTGGCGCTACAAAACACTTTATAGTTGTTTAGTCTCTTATTGTAGTTGTTTTTTTTCACGTTGTTGTTAAACATTTCTCTGTGGTTTTGTGTCTTTTTGTGGTAATTTCGAGTTGCTTTGAAATTGCTTTGTGTCTCATTGTGGTTGTTTTGATCCTTTTCATAGTTGTTAGTCTCTTTGTGTCTCTGTGCAGCTGCTTTTCATCTCTTTGTAGTTATTTTAGTCTCTTTGTAGTCTGTTTGCGTCTCTCTGTAGTTGTTTTATGTTTCTTTGTGGTCATTTTGGGCCTGTTCCTATTCGGTACATTTAACCTTCAATTACATTTTGTAGTTGAAGGCCAGTGGGGCTCCGGACCTATTGGTCCCCATAGTCTGTTCTCGGTATTCAGTAATCCATCCATGCTTATAAGCCAAATTTAGAATGTAAAAGAAAGTGATATCTTCAATTTGCCATAAAAATATTAATATACACAATTTAAACTTTATAATACAGTTAAACATGTCTTGCACAGTGAATGAGATGAGGCTTATATTTAATAACCTGAGAGACCCACTTTAGGGCACAAGGGCAATCCTTGTTGATGTGGACTGTCACGTGAGGTGGTAATGAGCAGTTGTTGACATTTTATAATTGTAGGCTGGGAGAAATATCAAAGCACTTTTTAATAAAAAAAATCAAATAATACTTTGGCTTGAATCTGAATTTAACAAAAGCAAATTTTACATTGAAACCTTCAGGAGGAGACAACTTGTTACTCGAGTAGAAAGTATTTAGAGTTACCGTGGGATTTAGCCCGGGGTTTGGGGGTGCATCCTCGGATCGGGGAGAAGCGGCTGACCGGCCGGTTGGTCCTGGTCTGCAGCCGGAGGGAGAAGAGCTCACTCCGGGTCACCTTCATCCTCATCCTCAGCGCTTCGTTCTCCCTCAGGCTCTGGCTGAGATGCAGCCGGAGAGACGACGAGTTCTCCGAGAACAGCTGACTGATTTCCGACACCGCAGCTTTCACCAGCACATCCATTATGGACAAAAGCTGCGACTCTAAATGCATGCTGCCCGGCGGCATGCTTGCAGACATGTTTCACTTTGCTGCCGCCGTGAATTATGTTGGAAAGAAGCGCAACTCAGTGGCTGTGTTAGCTCACAAAAGCGACAACACAATGGCTCTTCCGGTAGCATGGCGCTGATTACCGTAATCCATGGGAAGCAGGGGCAGTTTTGGTTCACGTTTTCCTGGCTGTTTGTTATGATCCGTGTATATGTTTTACTGATACAAAATACATTTTCAACAATTCACCTTATAATTAAAAGCACAATCAATTATATTTGTGATGTATTGCCTATACGAGAAATATATGAGCGCAGGTGTAAAGTAACTAAGTACATTTTCTCAAGTAGCCTACTGTCGTAGGCCAACATCAATTTTGAGGTGGGCTACTCCTACTTGACTTGAGTGCAACTTCATACTTCTACTCCACTACAATTCAGGGGTAAATCCTGTACTTTTACTCCACTATATTTATTTAATACTTCAGTTAGCCCACTTTACAGATTTGGATTGATGTGAAATATAATCAAATAAGACTTTAGTTACACATGGAGTAAATTCACAAGCTGGCAGTATACAAAGTCATTGGGGCTAACTGTACCTTTATCAGCTTTGATAACACTTTAATGCATCAATAATTGTAATCAAAACATATAATATATTATTCTGAAATGGACCAAGTAGGCCACAATATCTGAGTACTTCTCCCACCTCTGTATACGTGTTAATGTTAGGACAACCGTGTTCTGTATAGACCTCGGATCCAAACCTTAAACAACATGCAATCATAGCTTTATTACTGATAAACACATTTTAAAAAGAGCAAATTAAACTGGCTCATACTCTACAAAGGTCACAATTTATAATTAAGTGTTATTTACTCTTTTTAAGAGTGTTATTTACTCTTTTTAAGTAAACCAGCCTTATACATTTATCAATTTCTCACCGACTTTCATTAATTAGGCTATTTAAGACTTCTCAATAGAGCCTTTAAAAATAGTCAATTTTTTTGTAGCACAAAATGCTTTCTGGCAGAAAAGACAACCTGTCCTTCATTATATTTTTGTCATAATGAATACCCATTTTTCTTGACATGGCAATTAGAATATTTCAATTTTCACAAGTCCATCATTTAATAAATATGTCTAGACACACACAGCAAATAGAGGAACTGAACATTTCTGATTTATGTGCTCAAAACACATGGAATAAAAACAAAGCATAAGCATAGTGCACTTTCAAACATACATCTAATAACACAGTGCCCGTACAACATCAAACTAAGACATAATCATTGAAGTCAAACAACCGTCAATAATCCTTTGGTCTCCAGTCTTTCTGTTCGCTGTCAGTGTTTTTTTTAGGAGTCTCCTTCGACTACCACTTCACCATCTCCATCGTTCTCACATTTGTTTGGTGCTTTATCTTCCTCCTGAGCACCCTCTGTCTCTGTAATTTCTTCCTGTTTCTCCTCTTGACTCTCCATCATACTGTTCTCAGCAGGTGACTCTCCCCCGTCCTTCTCTGGGGACACCTCTCCTTTCTCCTTCTCCCCTCCCTCATTGTCATTCTTGGTGTCTTTATCCTCCTTTTCCTTTTCCTCCTTGTCCTTCCTCTCTTTCTCTATTTTGGAGAAGTTGTGGCAGAGGGACTGGACATATGTGAAAACACACATGGGGTCCGGGTGTTTACCCATCAACATCATGTCCTCCACTTCCAACAGAGGGCAGCAGTCGGCCAGGGACCTGCCGGGGAAGGATGGGACAGGAGGACAGAGGGGAGGAAAGGAGAGCACTGAGGTGAGACAAAGCAGTGGTATGGTTCAAAAAGAGACTCCTGATATTCTAACAGATTTGTTGTTATTATTCATAGTTTGTGTTAGCAAACTCCTTGGTGAGAAGCAGCCACCTTTGAGAAAGACTTTCCCATGGGATATTGCACTCAAAGCCATAAACCCAACTTATTGAAACTATTCTCTTTCAGGAATTTGACAAATTGGTGGAAGAAGGATCCAGTCCTCATTTGATCCCATGTGTAATAAGTAAACACTCTGGTCAACATCTGACCATAAGGGTAGAGAATTAAAAGCTCCATACTCTGCAGTTTGAAAGGCGAGTGTGAAGTTCTTCTTCCTCTGCTTTGGATTCAGGGTGCTGAAGTCAAAAGCTTCAGGAAAGTATCGATGGATCAGAGCACAGAACGCCATCCCGTCACACCAGGAGGACGAGAAGTTCTCTATGTTGACACCCTAAAAGGTCAAAGGACAGGAAGATAAACACATCAAAGCTTTATGATATTATTTTGCAAGTTCTCTGGTCCCAAATCTAGCCGACAAACCTTGACATTTGGTGTTGAAGATTGTGTGTTGAACCCACCTCATAGTTGCGAGTCTTGCTGCGACACCACTGAAGCATCTTCTGTTTGATTGTGTTTCCTGTAGCCAAACCTGAAGATGACCTCTGAACTTTGAAGTTGGGGGGTGTTGGTGTCCTAAAGAAGTCACAATATTGCACATGAAACCTTTATTAGACCATATTTACTGTCACTTATTTGATGCACTGGGTATCATACAATGACTTACTCTGGAGCACCTTGCTGGAATTTGGCAATTATGTCATTTTTAGCAGCTGCTCTAATTGAGCGTGCGGTCTGTCTTGGTCGAGAGACAGAAGAAGAGGGAGGAGCACTTTTTCTTTTTGGCTTCCCTTGCTTTTCTACCTCCTTCATTTTTCCGCTGTCTGTTGTTTCTACATCTGCCTCCACTTGTTTTTTCTTCTCTGCCCCTTTTGCTGCTTTTTCTTTCACATCCTTCTTTGCTTGTTTTGCCTTTTGCTCTGTCGTCTTTTTCTCTTTGGTTTCTTCTGTCATCTCCTCTCCATCTCTCTCTTTCTCGCATGGTTTGTCCTCTTTCACTTTCTCACCTTTCTCATCTTCCCTCCTCTCTTCCTCCCCATCTTTTTTTTCACTTGTTGTTTCAGGATCCTTCACGTCAGCATCAGCGGAGACTTTGTCCTCAGCGTCTTCAGCATCCCCTTCGACATTCTTTAGTGGAGGAATCTGGGGATTGTCTGGATCTCTGGGTTCCTCTTCTCCTCCCTGCTCTGGTACTGATTCCTCCGCCCCCTTCTCCCCCACCTCCATTACCCCCTGACCTTCCACTGTCTCCCCTGCTGGAGGCTCTCTCCCTGCGTCTTTACTCTCCTCCAGCTGTGGCTCATCTGTCTGCAGGACAAGCAGCATAACATAGAGTTTAGTCATCCATCTGAAAGCAGTTACAAGCTACAATGCATGTGTGTGTATCTACACACATTTAGTTAACATTTCACACTTGCTATACTTACCAAAAAACATTGTTAACATTGTTCTGATTTGACCAAGAGGAGGTCTGACCAATTAGGGTGTTGTATGCAATACATAGAAAAAGGCTTATATCTTTATATAACTTTATATAACATATGTCATCAATTTCCATCTTAAAACTCATGTCACTTTATCTTGTAATTGTGCTTCTTTCCTATTTAATATATCCTCTTATCATCATTAGGTCTTTTAAATGAGTTTAAAAGCAAAGAGTGTTAACCTACTTAGAAACTCAGAACTTACTAGCACCATGGGGAAAGCAGAGCTCTATCTCAAAACAATTTAAAATAACGTTTGCTCAAATAAAGGACATGCATGGGTGGAAGCTTAATACAATATTGTTATCCTGGTCCAGTCACTGCAAGATGGATTTAAGCATGACTTCAGATCGTAAGGTACCATTATGTCGCATGCGCTAAAATTACTTTTCAAACTTTACTTGAGGGATGACATAGTCCCTGAGCCAAAGAGCATAATGTAATGTGAGACCTGAAGCTTTACTCTGGGACTTGTTGAGTATCTCACTTATTTTAATACGTCTGAGAGGTTGGACTGTCAGATGGAAAGTTTGTCTTTTGTACTTTTTAAATCACACCTATAATACAGGTCAACTTCTTCAATATGATAAATGAAAAAAACAACTTATTAATAAATGTAAATGTCAAGTTGCTTCCTATTGAATTAGTGCTTTAACTCGTTTTTATGAAGGAAATGTGTCATCAGTGTATTGTAGGTCATACAATCATTTCTTAAACGCCACTGCATGGAATCTTCAAGGTTTTCAGATCTCTCAATGAAATGTAGCACACAGAATTTTCTGTTTAGAGATTAATTTAATCTTATTTCAAATACTGTATATCTTGTATATTGGCACTCGAGGAACGGTCACCCCGGGTCAGGTCTCATCGGAGGTTTGTGTGAGCATGCGCATTACTTTACATAACTTGTGTGTATCTGTGTGTTACATGTGAGCCAGGAGCTACAACAGGTGTACAGGAAATTCAGCCAGAACCACTTCAACTGTCCTGCTGTCTTAACGTACCACCTGCCACAGTCACAAATACACTCACTACCTATTCCTGGTACGGATTGTCATATCGTGGATTTCACAAAACATGAAAACCTTTATGCTGCAAATTAATATGACATGAAAAAAACACCAAACCTGGTTGTTGTTGTTGTTGGTGTCGGTCTGGCTGGTTGGATCTGTAGACCCAGATGTCTCCTGGCTGGGCGATTCTCCATCCATGATGTCCAGAAATGTCAGTTTAATGACTGGATCAAAGGTAAAATCAGACTTTCTTTTCAACTAATGCCCCAGGACTCTTTATAGAAACGTTTTTAATTCAGTCAAAGTTAAATCCTCTTCATTGCTCAATGTCTCTCCCTCTCTGCTTCTCAATGCTCCACTTTGCTTCCCTGTCTCCCTTTCTCTCCGTCTCTGTCAGCACTGCCCCTGTGTTTGTGATGTGTGGGTTGGTTTGTGGATATCCGCCTTCACCCCCTTTCATAACCCCACCCACTGCTTTGTGAGGATGCCTTAACTTCTTTATCTGACCTTTTGAAAAACACGTGGTCCAAAAATAGAGCCACAGTGAGATAGGCACTGCCCAATGGGCCAGACAGCTGCGTCTGCTGTGGAAACCGTGGTTGTACACATTTAAAACACATGCGGGTGCATGCAGTCCATTAAACATGCTCACAGAAATATAAGTTTTCCCTTAATTGTTGCTATTAAAAATAAAATGTTGATTTTGATACATACAT